CTCACATCGCATTGCATCGAACAGAGAGATCCCTTACCATCCGGTGGCCTCTTTGCCCGAGATGGGAGGGAAGTGGAGGTAGAAGCTTTCCTTTCGGTCCATGAAATTTTGGGCCGGTGGGGAGTAGGGGGCGGGGTTTCCTCTGTGCCTCAGCTCCATGGAAGGTGATGAGCAGTTTTCTCCAGATGCTGATTTCTCGCCTTCTGCTTATCTTCCTAGTGAATCTTGTGCCCATGATATTGAGAAGTCGTGGGATGTCTGCAGCTCGTTTCCTGTGAAAGCCAGTGCCGCAGACAATAGGGATACATCTTCATCTTCTTCCTTGAGAAGCGAAAAGGCCATCGATGTCACGGTGCCCCTGCATCAGCGAACAGTGGCCCTGAGTGCCTCAGCATTGGCCCTCTCAGATCCTGTCCCGTCCTTTGCTTGGGAAACTGGGTTCTGGGAGAATTTCTTTGATGAGCGATCTGCAGTAGACAGGATGGCTCCTGCCTTCAAGTTTCATCGCCCGAAACCTGCTGGTTCGATTGAGGTGACAACTCAGCCTGATGCTGAGGTGCAAGCCCCAGGCAAGAGGCCTAGACCCGAAGGTCCTGAATCCTTCTTGGATGTGGTGAAGAACCGTCTCGTTATTTCCTGGAGGGACAAGCGTGAGGCTGAGCACCGCCGAGCCTTGTGCAAGTGGTCTAGCATCTTTGATAAGCTTGATGGGTCCTGTGACCCTGTGATTCAAAGCATTTCAGAGTTGCCGGAAACCGAGAAATTTAATACCCTTGACGACTACATGGCGCGGAAGGCCCCGGGTACCATGACCAAAAGGGCCAACTCGTTCCTTAAAGTAATCAAGGTGGCTGAGGGAAAAGGCTTACGCTTTCCTGTCACAGAGCCTCAGCTGTATGAGCTCCTGCAAGAAGCCACGACAGGAGGTGCAGTTCCTTCGCAGCTCCGAGGCATTATGGAAACACTCCTTTTTGCCAGGCATGTCTTTGGGATTCAGGCGTTACACCAGTTAGCCATCAGCAGAAGGTGTTGGGGTGTCGGTGCAGCGCGCCAAGCACGTGCCGTCTCGAAAGCCGCAGGACTGCGTGTTGTAGACTTGATTGCCTTGCACAGGACCCTAGATTCGAGCCAGAACGTTTGGGATCGTTTGTTCGCAGGGTGTGCTCTGTTCTGCGTATATGCTAGAGCCAGGTGGAGCGACGCTCAGCATATTGATACGTTCAGGTATGATCAAGGACCTGACAGCCCCAAGGTGGACTATCTTGAGGCGGTTATCGACATCCATAAAAACATGAACCGGCGCGGGAAGAGCCCAGTTCTGTTGGAGCTTGTTGCACCGGGTTTGGGGGTCGCTTCGGACTGTTGGATTGAGAAGTTTTTGGATGCCCGAGATTCGCTGAAGCTCTCAGCCGAACATGCATTCATGCCAGCTCCCGATGTAACGGGAGCCCCAACCATAAGAGCTCTCGACTCCGACGAATGTAGCGAGTGGCTTGTGCGGTTGCTCCCGCCGAGGCAAGGTCTTAAAACAACTTCCCACAGTCTCAAGCGTACTCTGCTCAGCTACTGTGCCAAATGGGGAATCAGCCACACCGATCGATTAGCCATGGGTAGTCACAGCCACCCAGGTCGCATGAGTGATGAATACGCCGAGGACGCTTTGGCTAGGCCGCTTAGGCTTATCGAGATGGTTGTCAAGGCCATTCGGTCTGAAAGGTTCCACCCGGATGCAACGAGGGCGGGGCGCTTTGAGGGAGCCGAACCCTCGACTGATCCAATTGCCGAACCTCTCGAAAGCATCCTTTCATTGAAGCCCGCAGGGTCAGCGCCGCTCAGACAGACACCCGCTGAACGACCGGAGCCGGGCTCAGATTCGAGTGAAGAGTTCGGCACAGGTCTTGAGGTGCCGACTGGTGCTCCAGCAGGCAGTCCCTTGGTTGGCTCTCCCAGTTTTGTCGAGGAGGAGAAAGCAGCCGAGGAAGCCGCGCCAGGCGCCTCAGAAAGCAGCTCGTCTACGGAGACTTCGAGCTCCGACTCTAGCGCGAGCCACCCAGAGCCGGAAGCCGGGCCCGCTCGATTGATGTACCCGCCTGCGCCGCCAGAGGACTGTCGGTTTGTTTGCAGAGGCTGAGGCATGTCAACATGACCCTGTGCGGCAGAATTGTGAAGCCACCGATTGGCGAGCCAGGCGTGCTAAGGTATGACACCCCAGTCTGTAGGGCGTGCAAGAAAGTGGTAGCAGCAGAGGCGCATCACTAAGAAGATCGAAAGAGGCATGCTTGGCTGGGGAAAATTTTTGTAAGTGTGGCAGAGTGGTTTGAGAGAGGTCTGCGATTGCGAAGCATGCTTGACTTGACTCATGTTCTCTGCACGATTAGATGGTGTGAGATCGGTCACATGTATGAGGGTCCGCCAAGGTCCGTTTTCGTGGTTTTCTAGCTAGTGGAACCACCTCTAAGACCCAACCTAAGGAAAAAATGCATTTTCGTATGAGGTTGGGTCTAGGAGGTTTTTGAGGGGGTTTTGCGATTTGGGGGTTTTGGGCTGTTTAGGGTTTAGGGTCTTGGAAATACCGACCCGATGTACCTTCACAGTCACATGAGGGAACCATGCGACTTGTCCGATAAGGACACCTGGCTTGGGCAAACGTGTTCCTGAGCTGACCCATCAGGTTCGGCTCAAGGTAAACTCGAGGAGACCTCCCGCGGAAATCAAGCCATGGCCTTAGTGGACTCCAGAGCTTCGTTCAAGAGCCGTTGTGTGGAGATGTGTGGGGACGATGCGATGTACCTGAAACTGTCAGGTAAGGACATAAGGACCTTCTCTGATCTGGCATTCGCTTGCGGTACCCCGCAATCGCCACCAAGC